GCAAAAATTATTACCCACCTCTGCCATAGGCAGAAGATGTAACCCCCAGAAGGGATATCTCATTTATTGTGGGTCTTTATCGATCTGTCCTATTGAAGTTATTCCATACTTAGTAAATAATTAATAGAAATCGGAGCAGGGACACGAACAACAAGAAGAGATTGAGAAAGCCCTTTACCAGATTATTGCAATGCTAAAAGAGTCTCTTGCATTGTGGGAGACCCACGTTCAATTCCCTTGTAAATATCAGGCAGAGCGGGGAAGTGATTTTGTGTATCCCACATCCCAGGAGAGTACCCTAACCCTGGTCTAAAGGTTAGAAGGACCCTGCTCTTCCTGGAGGTGACTTTGTTTGACTTTTTCAGTTTACAGAAAAAAAATGTTTTTGATTGAAACCAAAACATTTTTTCAGATTTGCAAACAAAATGGGAAAAAAAAATTGTTCAGCTCTAATCCTGAGTTCTCAACAGCAAGCTTAAGACAGTTGATACATGCTATCATTTTGTCTTTCTGTCTGTCTCTGTGTTCACATATTCACTCTGCTTTACTTTCCAGCCATTAAGTGATGATGTTAATTACTATCATGTTCATTACTGGGGCTCCCATTGTTTGTTCTGAGTTCTCAATCTGATGTGTGATTCCAATCAGTGCTTGTTAAAGTATTTCATTTCATCCCAGAGAGAATATGCTACATTTCGGTGTGTCTCATTCCGTTTTGTACTCTGTGTATAATACATAAACTGAGATACACATATGAATCAAAAAACTATGATCGAATACTCCCACATTCATCACACAGTTCCATGATTGACTTGTGTGAACTAAAGCGCCTTGATACAAATTTCTGTGTTCGTTGTGCTTTTGGCCTGGGGGGGAGCAAAGGGCTCTACAGTATCCACTTGCCTTTAAAAACCCTGCATTGGATTAACCTATCCTTTTATCCTAGGAAAGCTGAACTTGGTCCCACATAGAGCCTCTATCAGTACCACTTCAGGGTTGGTCTTGGGATATCGCTTGAGATAATCTTAGAATACAGGCAGTCCCCGGGTTACGTACAAGATAGGGACTGTAGGTTTGTTCTTAAGTTGAATCTGTATGTAAGTCGGAACTGGCATCCAGATTCAGCCACTGCTGAAACTGACCAGCGGCTGACTACAGGAAGCCCGAGGCAGAGTTGCTCTGCCCC